CCACAAAGGGAAGTGATGTTTGCATCTCTGTTCCTAATGGAAGGTAATTCAGACGGTGGTCTTAAATTTTGCAGAATTTAAATTCCAATATAACAGTTTCAATTTTTTCTGGTCGATTTCGAAAGGGTTTGTAACTTTCTCAAACACACAAGCTACTATGGAATGTGCTGTTTGTGTCTGATCCCAACTGAACTAGTTCAGAAGGCGAGCTAGAATTTAAAATTCAGCATTGCCGTTTGGTCTATACTCAAAGGTGCCTGTTATTTTAGACACCGCGATCTACTCGAACTTCGATGAAATCCGAATCTAGATTTTTACATTTGCTATACGGAAAATGATTAAAAATTTCTGCTGCATAAAATTGCTAAGCGTCTCTTACACAATTAATGTTATTTTCGCTCAAATAGGCTTAAATTTATAGCAGCGCTATGGAGAAGAATTCTTGGGAAACTGATAGTCGCTCAGCAAATGAAGAAACACTCCACATTGCATGGAACATCAGGTTCATTGCCGTATTTTAAGAACCCTCAAATATGAAATTAAATTATCGTTTTTATCTTATTCGATGTAGAAATCCCATACTACCAATAACAGACATTATGCATATCAAGATCTGAATACAATCTACTGGAACAGGTAATCGAAACTTCATTAGAGTAAAAACACACAAAACATGAGCTTAAAATGTACAAAAGCTAGCAGAGAATAGTGTTGACATATGGAAGTCAAGTCTGGACTAGAAGAAAACAGATATTGTGAACAATGTAAATTACATTTATGAGGAGAACTACAATTTACGTAATGTTAGATCATAAATGAAATCGAAATATTTTATTTTTTTTTAAATAGAAGAAAATATAAAATTGATGTAGTTAGAGTTTGGACCAGAACGAATGTAGACTTCCCGAATACGAATCCAGTGATGTTAACCTTTTTTGTCTGATCCGACACTTGGTTGGTCTCGGAGTAAAGTAATTTAATTCCTTTCAGGTCTGATGACGCGCCGATTCTGGTGGCAGAAAAACAAATAAAACCCCACCTTTAAAGTAAATCGCTGTCACAGAAACTCAGCCAACACAGATTATACCCATTGGCAAGTAACTTTTTGAACACCTGTCAGAAATAAAGTTTTATATGCCTATTTTTAACATATTCTTGTCTAAAAGAAAGCAAGGATGCTTGTTGAGGTCACGCTGCTATTTGTGTATCCTTATATGTGTTTCTGCTTTCAACTTTTGGACCAGTTGACCGATGTTCACGAAACTTGGTACGAACTTTATGACATTCAGACCCAACCCCATCCTAATATTTCTATAATTTCTTTAATTAAATTCATTTATTTAAGTGCTTGATAACAGCCAAGAACTGAACAACAGTACAAGATAAAATATATAATAATTAAATTAATTTCAATAATAATAAAAGTAAAAAATTACAAATACAAAAACAAACAAATGAAAGTAAGTATAAAAATGTACCATATTATTAATAATTATAATAATGGTAATAATAAAAATAATTCAATTCAGTTCCTTTGTTAATGAGAATAATATAACTGGGGCAGAAACACATTTAAATTTGTATGAAGTTATAGGAATTCCAGTACAAATGTATGAATGTGGAAACTGTGAATTTAACAGAGTGAACAGAAAGAAAGCATGTCAAACTCTGTGTCTACAAAGGCCCCCTTGAAATGGACGCGACTGTTCCGGGTAAAGTCGCCTGTCTGGCGAAATCATAACAGCCCACTTTTACTTTCAAAACTTCAGCTTCAGATATTTTTCGTTCCTCTATTTTCACACAAACATTAATATAAATTTCACTGAAATTCACTTTCATACCATGAAGTTTTTACTGCTCGAATCCGATGTGTAAATTCGGTTTTCGAGGGTGGTTTGCGTTAGATGATTAGTATTATCCATCGTTTCAGCAAATATTGTAGTTGTTATCTTCAGGGCGAATGTGAAGTGGTTGGGCGACTTGGTTATCCATATATAAGGCAGGCAGTAGATGACCACCTGAAGATGGAAGCAGTAAGCTAGTCTGAAACATCGGTCTATCTACCAAATACATGGCGCCACAACTCAGAACTCAGCCATCTTTATATACGCCGCCTTGAAAGCATGAAATCTGACGATTCGAAATGGTTTTAAAATCCTTGGTTTGAAATGAAGAACCCAAGAACACAAAAGCACGTGGCATGAATCTGTGTTAAAAATGGAACCAAATGCGGTAGCCTATTAAATTATAGAATAGAAACCAAATAGTCGCAGATAAAAATAGAACGTTCTAGAAAAAGACAGAGGATTCATTCTGAATCGAAGTAATAATCACGGTGAAGTTAATAATGATTTTACGCATTCCCAAACATGTAAAATGGCAGAGACATTTAATATACCTGTAGGGTCCCAACATTATTCATGGTAACACGTCTTGAAAAATGTGAAACTTTTGTTAAGACATTTTCTTCCTGTAGAATGTAAAATAGCAATATGACAGCCATGGGAAAATCGCCGTTGGCTTTCAATTTGACAGCGATAACTAATGAACCGTCTTAGCTAGGCGTGTAAAATTTAGAGTTGAAAAATGTCATACACGTGTCTACAAATTATGCACGATATAGTAAGTCAAAAATTAATAAAATTAAAAAGGGACAGAATTTTGAGGTTATGTACGACAAAATCAACACAAGGATAATCTGCATATGGACTAAATGATAAAAGCCTTCCCAAAATATAGAATGTACACGATAAAGTGCATGCCATTTTATTGTAACATTGCTCATGAACTGAAAGTCGCAGCAATGAAGATTAGACGCGTATAAGTAGGTTATATGATCAAGTTTTTGAGACCTACATTTTACAGATGTTCAATGAGGACACAGTTAATGGCCCTGCCGATACCATATTTGTATTCAATTTCATTCCTCACGCTCTTATGCAAGTAAAGTGTAATCGTAGCCAATGGTGGCTCATTCTTGATGTATCCCCAAAAGAATAAATCACGTGGTTTAAGACCAGGCGAACGAGGTGGCACGCGCGTAGCTTTTTGTAATTTTCAGCGCCATTTTAAAGATTTGGAAATCCAAGTGACAAGTATCGACTTCATTCCTCTGCCTTCCGGTTCAACAGAAATGTTACAGTGAAATAGTATATATTTTATGTGTACATCCTGTGTAACAATAGACTCTAATTATATCAATAACATTAAATATAATAACAACTATAAGCAATAATGAAAATGTGAGCCCGTAACTCATGAGTTAAACTGTGCGTCACTGATGGAATAAACTTATAGTACCTAAATATGACGATAATATTGGTATGTACCTATTATGACTAGAAATCTGAGCAATAGAAAAGTTAGCTTCATAAGGACTATCCTAAATTCCCCTGTTTTCTTCTGAATATATATGCAACATTCTTAAATGTACCAGAAGGATCTTTGTTAACTTTTTCTCTCCACATGGGTTCACGGACGTTAACAAAAGCTTACTGCAGAAGTACCTCGTCTCTGTATTGTCTTACCGAAGGGAAAAGAAACCGCCAAATTATTCAGAAAAGAACAAAAATAAAACAAAAGAAGAACGTGGAACGTTACTCAAACAGAAGCGCTAGTTTAAAGCAAACACAAACTTTCGATACAGGTATGTTAAAGAAATTTGCCACCCTTTCGTTGCTCAAGTAAATGAGCGTCACCTGGTACCGACAACGTTACAATCTGCAAACAGGACAATGAATTTTGGGGTTTCGAGGGATTGATGCAAACATTAGAATTTTAATACAAGAAACAATGCGTGAGAGGCTATAGATAAAATTAGATTGACAGGTTAAAAAATGTTCCAAGGATAGGATTTTAAGAAACGGTTATGTGGTTTATTTCTTGTGATTATTATTATTATTAATTGTGACTTATATATTAACGCTGACACTAGCACACACCATGTAGTGTAGAATGATAGGATTATTAGCGAATAATTAATTGGAAATAATATGGAACGGAGTTTAAGGTGCTATCTCGGTATTTTCTGGAGAATCTGAGGAAAATCAGGAAAAACTCAACTCATACTGTTATGGACCCTCTATTTCCCTCAGGAAATTTCGTTTAGTTAAGCACTTTCATAGACATACAAAAATTGGAGACATTCACCAGCTCAGCACTGGATTTTTATAATTCAGGGATCATGATGCGGACAATTGGTTATTTAACGACACTGTGTCATCTGTGAGTGTTAACTGGCCAGGGGGCTAAGCTTATATTACCCCTATCACTTTTGATTTAAATGATCCTCTACATACAAAGAAAAGCTGCCGACTGCCCAATCAAACTATTAAGTATAATAAAATTCCATCATAAACTCCACGAGTCAACACTTTAGCTAGGGGCCATGTACGAAAGATTTTAAAGGCATGCAAATGTCTGTTACCTGAACTCGTTAAAACATTTTAATTGGTTACTAAACCTAAGAATACATACAGAAAAGAGCTTCCAGTTTCTGGAGTAAATTTGACATGCGCAAAAGTTCTGCCTTTCAACAGAAGCTACGCCAGACTTTTGGCTGATCGCTTTATTATGTTATCCGAAAAACAGTATCCAATGTAGAGATCATTTAGCGTTTAATGAAACACCTCCCCTTCTCCATCAAAATCCTGGGACAGAAATTCTTTGAACAACCGCTTCCCCTTCCACTTCATTCATAAAGACAGTCTTCGGCGTAGTTGACAAAAGAATGAACCAAAGGATGACTTGACTGTCATGAGGTTCTGTTCTTGTGCCGGAGGTTATTTAACCGTGTCTTTCAACTGCAAAAGTTATTTAATATCAGATTATTTCTACGTTTCAGCAGCGAAATCTACTCAACCGTAAAAATATTTTTTTTTTTTTACATATTTTCATTTTTCCATACAATTACCTCATCCAATATTCATCCTTAAAATATAGATTTGTAACTTTCCACACAAGTTCATTTCCTGAATCTATGAATAAATGTTTGATTTCAGAGCATCGTCTGACAAACGCAAGATGCACGTCAAGAGACCGATGAACGCCTTCATGGTTTGGGCTCAGGCAGCCAGACGGAAACTCGCGGACCAATACCCACAGTTGCACAACGCGGAGCTCAGCAAGACCCTTGGTAAACTGTGGCGGTGAGTATCCACATGATGGAATAGCTCAGCCTCTTAACAGAAGACAGAACCAAGCTAAACACAAGGAAAACGAAGTAGGATTTGAGTTTCTCGCAAGATGATGACTGTCTTCTTGGTTGTAGCGCCGTGTGATCTGGAAGAAGTTTACCAACGTTTCAGGTATATTTGATCTAACATCAAGGCGGTTTTCGTGCTGAAGATGTAGGCAGCAAGTACAGTTGAAACGTTGGTAAACTTCTTCCAGACCACACGGCGCTACAACCAAGAAGACAACCATCATCCTACTATGGAAATGACTTCTGTTCTGAGGGTCCTTGCCACTTCGTCAGTTGTTAAACTTCAGTTCTGTGCATTTCAGGAGAAAATTTCATAGTTTGTACAGCATGAGTTACTAAGACCAGAAATATCAGTTGAACAAATGGTATTATTTTCCCCTTTCAAATAGAAGGAATCTTGCCGAAACACGTCAAACAAAGAAATATCTCTGCACTCTTTTATTTAAACGGAGTACGGAATCAGTACCAACAGGGTCTCCAGACCATAAAAAAATTTCCCGGATTTCTCTGAAATAAAATTGGGTTGGTAAACTTGATAAGGATCTGCACCGTGAGACCAGATCCAGCGGCTTGTATGATCTGAAACGGTTTCAATAAATTCCGCTTCCATGACGTCCAGAAGGATGTGAAACTCACAAAACGTTTTCAAGATGGCTGATCTCTTTTAATTGGATTCACACTGTCGTCGGACTTTCGTCTTGCAATTCCAGCCAGCTCTCCCTCGTGAGAATCAGTGCACAGTAAAACAGTGTGCATGCAAGAACGTCTTACAGTGAACAGCCCATTTACTGTTTCTCTGGAGATCAATGCATTTGACCCAGTAATTCGTCTGGCCTTTGTTTGGGAGGTACTTTGTTTATATTTTAACAGGAGCACTGTCTATGTTAATTGCATTTTTGGAGCTAAATTTTAACATTCAGATTTCACATAGGCCGAGAACGAGATACTGCAAGAACAAAATAAAACAATATAGTATTTGAGACTTTCACGGCGAGTACAATCAATAAAACAAGATTAGAAACATGCAGTTCGTACTGGAATACAGTGAGTTTTCCATATGCATTCTCAATTAAAGTTTTCCGATATTGGAAATAGTTTTACATCGGTTTCAGCTCCACACTCATAAGACCACATTTTCAAAATTAACTTAGGTTTCCGTTTCAGATAATTCCCTACGCTTGGAATACAAAGACACCATTATGTTTTATTCGTAATAATAAACCGTCACCCCGAATCGAGTTGTTGACAGATATTAAACCGTTTCAATCTGAAAATTCCATCAACCCGGATGACGATTTTCTGGAAGCTAAAACAACTGTTTAAAATTAAAAACAGGCAAGGCTGCACTTCCCGACGCCACGTCTGACTCTTTAATTACCCACTAGAGAGAGACTCGACACAAATTCCTAAGCCGATTATCACAGACTGTGGCTCCGACCACTTAACATTCTGAAAGCAATGCCAAGACCCCAGGCCTACCTCTAACAATACGAGACCATAGGGAAACATGTCCTTTGCTCAAGACAAATTAAAACGAGACGAGAAATGTGGGAAAGAAAAAATGAGTACTCGTATATGTTCATGTATCGTCACTAAAATACAAGACAAAATTATAACATGGACGGCATCATACCAGAAAGGCGTATCAACAAAGTGACTGGCAGGGTTTTAGGTTTTAACAGTGGTGACTCATTACCCTGATGATGAAGACAGGAAGGTCCTTGTAAACTTCTACCAGACTACACTGCGCTACAAGGATGATTTATTTACAGGAGATTAAATTTTTAAACTTATTTGGTTGAAACCTTTGATAATGAGACTAATATAACTGGGGCAGAAACACATTTAAATTGGTATGAAGTTATAGGAATTCCAGTATAAATGTATGAATGTGGAAACTGTGAATTTAACAGAGTGAACAGAAAGAAAGCATGTCAAACTCTGTGTCTACAAAGGCCCCCTTGAAATGGACGCGACTGTTCCGGGTAAAGTCGCCTGTCTGGCGAAATCATAACAGCCCACTTTTACTTTCAAAACTTCAGCTTCAGATATTTTTCGTTCCTCTATTTTCACACAAACATTAATATGAATTTCACTGAAATTCACTTTCATTCCATGAAGTTTTTACTGCTCGAATCCGATGTGTAAATTCGGTTTTCGAGGGTGGTTTGCGTTAGATGATTAGTATTATCCATCGTTTCAGCAAATATTGTAGTTGTTATCTTCAGGGCGAATGTGAAGTGGTTGGGCGACTTGGTTATCCATATATAAGGCAGGCAGTAGATGACCACCTGAAGATGGAAGCAGTAAGCTAGTCTGAAACATCGGTCTATCTACCAAATACATGGCGCCACAACTCAGAACTCAGCCATCTTTATATACGCCGCCTTGAAAGCATGAAATCTGACGATTCGAAATGGTTTTAAAATCCTTGGTTTGAAATGAAGAACCCAAGAACACAAAAGCACGTGACATGAATCTGTGTTAAAAATGGAACCAAATGCGGTAGCCTATTAAATTATAGAATAGAAACCAAATAGTCGCAGATAAAAATAGAACGTTCTAGAAAAAGACAGAGGATTCATTCTGAATCGAAGTAATAATCACGGTGAAGTTAATAATGATTTTACGCATTCCCAAACATGTAAAATGGCAGAGACATTTAATATACCTGTAGGGTCCCAACATTATTCATGGTAACACGTCTTGAAAAATGTGAAACTTTTGTTAAGACATTTTCTTCCTGTAGAATGTAAAATAGCAATATGACAGCCATGGGAAAATCGCCGTTGGCTTTCAATTTGACAGCGATAACTAATGAACCGTCTCAGCTAGGCGTGTAAAATTTAGAGTTGAAAAATGTCATACACGTGTCTACAAATTATGCACGATATAGTAAGTCAAAAATTAATAAAATTAAAAAGGGACAGAATTTTGAGGTTATGTACGACAAAATCAACACAAGGATAATCTGCATATGGACTAAATGATAAAAGCCTTCCCAAAATATAGAATGTACACGATAAAGTGCATGCCATTTTATTGTAACATTGCTCATGAACTGAAAGTCGCAGCAATGAAGATTAGACGCGTATAAGTAGGTTATATGATCAAGTTTTTGAGACCTACATTTTACAGATGTTCAATGAGGACACAGTGAATGGCCCTGCCGATACCATATTTGTATTCAATTTCATTCCTCACGCTCTTATGCAAGTAAACTGTAATCGTAGCCAATGGTGGCTCATCCTTGATGTATCCCCAAAAGAATAAATCGCGTGGGGTAAGACCAGGCGAACGAGGTGGCACGCGCGTAGCTTTTTGTAATTTCAGCGCCATTTTAAAGATTTGGAAATCCAAGTGACAAGTAGCGACTTCACTCCTCTGTCTTCCGGTTCAACAGAAATGTTACAGTGAAATAGTATATATTTTATGTGTACATCCTGTGTAATAATAGACTCTAATTATATCAATAACATTAAATATAATAACAACTATAAGCAATAATGAAAATGTGAGCCCGTAACTCATGAGTTAAACTGTGCGTCACTGATGGAATAAACTTATAGTACCTAAATATGACGATGATATTGGTATGTACCTATTATGACTAGAAATCTGAGCAATAGAAAAGTTAGCTTCATAAGGACTATCCTAAATTCCCCTGTTTTCTTCTGAATATATATGCAACATTCTTAAATGTACCAGAAGGATCTTTGTTAACTTTTTCTCTCCACAAGGGTTCACGGACGTTAACAAAAGCTTACTGCAGAAGTACCTCGTCTCTGTATTGTCTTACCGAAGGGAAAAGAAACCGCCAAATTATTCAGAAAAGAACAAAAATAAAACAAAAGAAGAACGTGGAACGTTACTCAAACAGAAGCGCTAGTTTAAAGCAAACACAAACTTTCGATACAGGTATGTTAAAGAAATTTGCCACCCTTTCGTTGCTCAAGTAAATGAGCGTCACCTGGTACCGACAACGTTACAATCTGCAAACAGGACAATGAATTTTGGGGTTCCGAGGGATTGATGCAAACATTAGAATTTTAATACAAGAAACAATGCGTGAGAGGCTATAGATAAAATTAGATTGACAGGTTAAAAAATGTTCCAAGGATAGGATTTTAAGAAACGGTTATGTGGTTTATTTCTTGTGATTATTATTATTATTAATTGTGACTTATATATTAACGCTGACACTAGCACACACCATGTAGTGTAGAATGATAGGATTATTAGCGAATAATTAATTGGAAATAATATGGAACGGAGTTTAAGGTGCTATCTCGGTATTTTCTGGAGAATCTGAGGAAAATCAGGAAAAACTCAACTCATACTGTTATGGACCCTCTATTTCCCTCAGGAAATTTCGTTTAGTTAAGCACTTTCATAGACATACAAAAATTGGAGACATTCACCAGCTCAGCACTGGATTTTTATAATTCAGGGATCATGATGCGGACAATTGGTTATTTAACGACACTGTGTCATCTGTGAGTGTTAACTGGCCAGGGGGCTAAGCTTATATTACCCCTATCACTTTTGATTTAAATGATCCTCTACATACAAAGAAAAGCTGCCGACTGCCCAATCAAACTATTAAGTATAATAAAATTCCATCATAAACTCCACGAGTCAACACTTTAGCTAGGGGCCATGTACGAAAGATTTTAAAGGCATGCAAATGTCTGTTACCTGAACTCGTTAAAACATTTTAATTGGTTACTAAACCTAAGAATACATACAGAAAAGAGCTTCCAGTTTCTGGAGTAAATTTGACATGCGCAAAAGTTCTGCCTTTCAACAGAAGCTACGCCAGACTTTTGGCTGATCGCTTTATTATGTTATCCGAAAAACAGTATCCAATGTAGAGATCATTTAGCGTTTAATGAAACACCTCCCCTTCTCCATCAAAATCCTGGGACAGAAATTCTTTGAACAACCGCTTCCCCTTCCACTTCATTCATAAAGACAGTCTTCGGCGTAGTTGACAAAAGAATGAACCAAAGGATGACTTGACTGTCATGAGGTTCTGTTCTTGTGCCGGAGGTTATTTAACCGTGTCTTTCAACTGCAAAAGTTATTTAATATCAGATTATTTCTACGTTTCAGCAGCGAAATCTACTCAACCGTAAAAATATTTTTTTTTTTTTACATATTTTCATTTTTCCATACAATTACCTCATCCAATATTCATCCTTAAAATATAGATTTGTAACTTTCCACACAAGTTCATTTCCTGAATCTATGAATAAATGTTTGATTTCAGAGCATCGTCTGACAAACGCAAGATGCACGTCAAGAGACCGATGAACGCCTTCATGGTTTGGGCTCAGGCAGCGAGACGGAAACTCGCGGACCAATACCCACAGTTGCACAACGCGGAGCTCAGCAAGACCCTTGGTAAACTGTGGCGGTGAGTATCCACATGATGGAATAGCTCAGCCTCTTAACAGAAGACAGAACCAAGCTAAACACAAGGAAAACGAAGTAGGATTTGAGTTTCTCGCAAGATGATGACTGTCTTCTTGGTTGTAGCGCCGTGTGGTCTGGAAGAAGTTTACCAACGTTTCAGGTATATTTGATCTAACATCAAGGCGGTTTTCGTGCTGAAGATGTAGGCAGCAAGTACAGTTGAAACGTTGGTAAACTTCTTCCAGACCACACGGCGCTACAACCAAGAAGACAACCATCATCCTACTATGGAAATGACTTCTGTTCTGAGGGTCCTTGCCACTTCGTCAGTTGTTAAACTTCAGTTCTGTGCATTTCAGGAGAAAATTTCATAGTTTGTACAGCATGAGTTACTAAGACCAGAAATATCAGTTGAACAAATGGTATTATTTTCCCCTTTCAAATAGAAGGAATCTTGCCGAAACACGTCAAACAAAGAAATATCTCTGCACTCTTTTATTTAAACGGAGTACGGAATCAGTACCAACAGGGTCTCCAGACCATAAAAAAATTTCCCGGATTTCTCTGAAATAAAATTGGGTTGGTAAACTTGATAAGGATCTGCACCGTGAGACCAGATCCAGCGGCTTGTATGATCTGAAACGGTTTCAATAAATTCCGCTTCCATGACGTCCAGAAGGATGTGAAACTCACAAAACGTTTTCAAGATGGCTGATCTCTTTTAATTGGATTCACACTGTCGTCGGACTTTCGTCTTGCAATTCCAGCCAGCTCTCCCTCGTGAGAATCAGTGCACAGTAAAACAGTGTGCATGCAAGAACGTCTTACAGTGAACAGCCCATTTACTGTTTCTCTGGAGATCAATGCATTTGACCCAGTAATTCGTCTGGCCTTTGTTTGGGAGGTACTTTGTTTATATTTTAACAGGAGCACTGTCTATGTTAATTGCATTTTTGGAGCTAAATTTTAACATTCAGATTTCACATAGGCCGAGAACGAGATACTGCAAGAACAAAATAAAACAATATAGTATTTGAGACTTTCACGGCGAGTACAATCAATAAAACAAGATTAGAAACATGCAGTTCGTACTGGAATACAGTGAGTTTTCCATATGCATTCTCAATTAAAGTTTTCCGATATTGGAAATAGTTTTACATCGGTTTCAGCTCCACACTCATAAGACCACATTTTCAAAATTAACTTAGGTTTCCGTTTCAGATAATTCCCTACGCTTGGAATACAAAGACACCATTATGTTTTATTCGTAATAATAAACCGTCACCCCGAATCGAGTTGTTGACAGATATTAAACCGTTTCAATCTGAAAATTCCATCAACCCGGATGACGATTTTCTGGAAGCTAAAACAACTGTTTAAAATTAAAAACAGGCAAGGCTGCACTTCCCGACGCCACGTCTGACTCTTTAATTACCCACTAGAGAGAGACTCGACACAAATTCCTAAGCCGATTATCACAGACTGTGGCTCCGACCACTTAACATTCTGAAAGCAATGCCAAGACCCCAGGCCTACCTCTAACAATACGAGACCATAGGGAAACATGTCCTTTGCTCAAGACAAATTAAAACGAGACGAGAAATGTGGGAAAGAAAAAATGAGTACTCGTATATGTTCATGTATCGTCACTAAAATACAAGACAAAATTATAACATGGACGGCATCATACCAGAAAGGCGTATCAACAAAGTGACTGGCAGGGTTTTAGGTTTTAACAGTGGTGACTCATTACCCTGATGATGAAGACAGGAAGGTCCTCTTAAACGCTTGTAAACTTCTACCAGACTACACTGCGCTACAAGGATGATTTATTTACAGGAGATTAAATTTTTAAACTTATTTGGTTGAAAAATGTGCATTATTAGTGAAGATGGCTGACTCTTCTGAGTTGTTGCGCCATGTAGTCTGATAGAAGTTTACTGACGTGCTTTTTTTTGCCTCCATCATCAGGGCGATGAGAGGCGGCAAACACCTCTGAAACGTCAGTTAACTTTTACGAGACTGCACAGCCAATAACCCAGATGGCTATTAATTTCATATTCGTCGCCCTGAGAACCTGAAATCTCACAATGAGGATTAGGCGGGGAGAGAATGAACAAATCTCAAATCGTCAAGAGACCGAGGATTACAGCCGGTGGGTGTCAGGGTAAAGGAATGTAATTCCAAATATTACAACCGAAATATAATTACTATTTACAGCCTGTATTTTATATTAATTTCAATTTTTCCAAAGCCTTAAGTCATGTATACAATTCATAATATTTACATAATTCTTTAATAAATCGATAAATTATTTATAATTTAATTAACTTTTCTAACTTATAGGCTTTTACCCTGGCACCAGCTACAAAAGCATTAATTCTGTGGAAAATGTTGAGAATGTGGGGCTGGATTGAATTGTGTGTTCGCGTTCAGTTTTTATATTTATCCTTCTTTACGTCAAACGCCCAAATTTATAACTTGTGTTGGGCAAGGCCGTGGTCTAGGCAACACGGAGTTTTCCTCCGGGGGCTTCCCCGGTTTCTCCGTGGCATCCCAACAATTACTCCATGCACACACAGAAGAAGGCAATGGCAAACCACTTCTGGACCATCTGCCAATAACGTATATGAACAGGTCCCAGTCCAAGAAGAGAAAAGGATGGAAGGATCCTGTTCATAAAGTGTCGCCAACCTCCTGTAAAGAGACGGCGTGATAAAGAAGGAGAAATAGGATAAAGCGCGGACAGGGTGTGATGTTGACCACTCACCCTCATCTAGTACCGAGGTTGAGAATGAGTAGGAGCTAAACCTCCACTCCCCTGATCGCCGACATGAGGCGTAACAGGATAGCTTTACCTTTTTTATATCAAATGTCGCAGTTGTAATTGATGCTGCTTAAGTCCTTTACGCACAAGCGACTTGAGGTGGGTATATATTTTTTTGAACAGCCGTCTTCTTTCGCTACATTTTTCATGTCGTTCATTTTTCATCTCTTTCTATATTTTTTCACTTTTTTCTCCCTTTCTTTGTTTCTGATCTGTGTTTTTCTTCCTTCCTTTCATTCTTTGGTTGTTCCTCGCTCTTTTGTCCTTGCCTTCTTCCTTCTTCTCGCTCATTCCTCCTTCCTTGTTTGTTCCATCGCCACTTAACGCTTTACGACCGACTCCATAACAGTTACCTCAAAGGCAGGAAGTTACGTCGCCTCAATTGAACAAGATATCTCTGGTTCTGCACGGGTTTCACCTGGTTGTGGAAGACTCCCGTCCCCAGACGGTTATAAAAACAACATCCTGTTAGTTTTCTTTAACAGGAATCAACAAGAAAAGGAAGTGTTCACAGCTGTGCGAGGCGTAGATATGGCCACCCCCACGGGCAAACAACTTTATCAATAACAAAGAAAAAAATTTCTGAGTTCCTGCCTCTGTAATCCTTTCAGATTACACGACAACAAGCGAATTTGGATATTAACGCTGGCGCTGACATCCACATGTGTGGGTGTGGGGTGGATTCATATGGCTCAAGATAGGATTCACTGGCGGGATCTTGTAAAAAGGGTGATGCTCATTCGATTTCATATAAGACGAGAAATTTCTTAATTTCATGAACGCACGTCAGGTTCTCAGTCACTCTATTCCATGGGATTAGTTTAATTAGCAGCTACACATCACTTCTTGACAACATCTTATAACGTTTCTAGCCTTATAATGTGAGACTACAAAACGGGATAATTATTTTACATAACCAACTATAAGATAGTGTAATTGCGTCATATTGTGAATATTATATCAATTATTTATTTTAATCCGTCTGATCACAATATAATTTTATTTAAAATTTCTTATAATTAAGATAATAAAATATCATTCATGTTCCATATCGATTGATCGATTTACATTTCGGAAATATCGGGACACTCACTCCTACATCTTTGGCCGATATGTACATCTAATAACATTTAAGAAAAACAACACCTTCGCCCAAAAATGGAAAAACAAACGTAATGAAACATCACCAAAAAACTACAGAAATCATAATTGAGTTTTAAGTTCTTAGATATATTTTACACCTGATGATGGTTTTATAAAAACCGAAACATGTTGTGTAAATGTTCCGAAATGTAAATCGATCAATCGATATGGAACATGAATGATATTTTATTATCTTAATTATAAGAAATTTTAAATAAAAAATTATATTGTGATCAGACGGATTAAAATAAATAATTGAGATGACCAACTATGTTTTTAATCTTCCACACACAGACAAAAGTGATGACATTTCAACTTGTTTATTTTGTCCTTAAATTCAATGTTAACAACGGATTGCAGATATGTTAATAACTTACTGAGTTTGTTTGTTAACCGTAACCGTAAAATGTCGAAACCAATGGTAATACTGAATTCTTGCATCCGTTTTCAGTTTTTGTAGCTGATGCACTGAGTCACATCGGTACACCCGTAGTTTCAGTTGTCTTGTTGGTCAATCAGAATTTGTTACCAATCGGTGTATTGTCGTCTTATTGGGTGCTTCTTTATCAGAAAAGTAACATTCGAGAATGAACACACATTCTGCTTATGAATACATCGTGTTCGAACCTGCAGAGCTTCTTCGCAGGTAGGGAGAGCAGCGGCCTAGTAACAAGGGAGGTTGGGACAATCATAGGTGATTGCTTTTGGGTGTGCCTTGTAGTTAGCTACCTAGCTATTTTAATAAGATATTCAATTGACTTATTAGTTGTGGTATTTGAGGTTTTCACGGCTGTGAGTCTGAAAATTGCTGTCTTCTGGCTTATTACTTATTTTGCTAGCCGATATAGATGGATTGTTAGATAGTTGGTACAAAGCAAAAATTCTCTGTGTTCCTACATTCGGGCTGGAGCATTTGTAAAGACTGCCAACCATCCACACTTCCATGCAGAACTCTATACTCTCCTCACAGCCGCCATGTAGAGCACATGCATGTGACGTGTCGCAACATGGCTGCTGCGCGTGCGAAACTC